ACACACACACACACACACACACACACACACACACACACACACTTCTCTACTGAGACTGCAAAGCTCACACCAAGAGCTCCTGTAAAGATTCCTTTCTGTACATTGGCCCACCTTTACATTTTCATTCCAGCTTGACCGTAATGCTCAACAAGTGGAAAAGGACAACTTGAAGCACAATTTCCTCCATCAGTCTTTGGAACTTTGACTCCAGACAGAGAAGTGTCTTATTTGAATCATTTAACTTTCAAAATGCAGCAAAGACCGACTTAAGGCCCTTTCTGCCCTTGCCTCTTTTCTCTGGAAAGTTCAACTAAGCTCACATTCAAATATAAGTGGCCAGATTTTAACCCAGGATAAACAGAAGCCATTAGGCTTCATGGCTATTTCAGTCAAAATGTGCAAGGATCCTTCTCTGGGACTGCAAGCTGGGCATTCTGACCTGGCTCCAGTGGAGAATATTCTGCACAGATGTTCCAGCAGGTGTATGGGCGACATACACATTTGCTCGGCTCTGTAACAAAGCATAATGATTTATGAGACCAGATGTCAGTCCTGTTAAAAATCAGATCTCAATGGTGTCACACTAAGAAATGGGAACATCATTGAATTAGCATCCATAACCTTAAACAGAAGAGGATATGTGCATGCCAGTCAACTCTGCCTTCCTACAAAACAGCATTGTTCATTTGAGAATAGGCTCTCATTAAAAAGAACTTAACTAGTTTCAACTCTAGCATTGCAAAAAAATAGATAAAACAATAATAAATAAGTAACTTTGCTAGAGATATTTAGGACAAGGACTCCAGCTCTATAATTTAATTTTAGGGAAGATATGGACAAGTTTCTGTACAGTGGAGCTATTAATAATACTTGTCTAATGGGTTTGTTGTCAGGAACAGTTAATCCTGGGACAGTAAAGATGACTGTTAAACGATGGCTATAAGTTAATTCTTCTTGGTTCTCCTTTAAAAAGAAAAGTTGTTAGGATGAAAGACATTCCTCTGGTCAGCGAGAATGGTCCAGGCAGGCAGCCCTCCATTGTCAGCCTTAACTGACCTCCTGCCTGAAAAATCCACACCTTGGCCAGTCTCCCTCACTGTCATCTCTGTAGGGTTAGTCAACCTTCACAAATTCTAGAGTAGTGGCTCTCAACCTTCCTGATGCTGCAACCCTTGGATACAGTTATGGTGACCCCAAGCATAAAATTATTTTGGTGCTAATTTATAACTGTAGTTTTGTAATATCTGATATGCAGGATATCCGTTGTGTGTCTTCTGTTGGGTCACGACCCACAAGTTGATAACCACCAGGTAGAGGGTCAACTTCAGCTTCTTTTGAGGTTGTTTCCCAGCCCCACTTTTTAATTCACTAAGTCCAATTTTGTTCCTTGTCAAGGAATTATCTCTAGTCACATAATTTTGTTCACTAATCTTCAACCATACATAGCAGGGAACTCACCCAGCGATGCCACCAGTAGTGACACCCCAAACAAGCTGAAATACTCATTTCCATCAAGGGACATCAAATACAAATCAAAAGTTCCTTTGTGGAGCATGGAGATGGGCGATGGTTGAAGGACTTTCATTTTTCTGGTTATTTTTCTCCGTGTTATTTCTTTTCTGTAAGTTTCCAACTTCACCTATAATCTATCAAGTTAGTCTCTGGCAATGCGTTCACAGTAACCTTGCCTTATCTCCTCCTGCAGCTTGCTCAACATTTTCTTACAACTTGGAAATCACAGATTACAGGTTGCACATAGTTTCTTTAACCCTTGGCCAGTGTCCGCTCATTTTCAAGTACTGAGACTGGAAACTCCCAGCTTTGCTTAGGAAACGACATTCCCACTCACCATGTTCATGTTGTTCGTGTTAAAACCTCCCATTAGTAAGATGATGTTGCTGCAGATTTGGTCAAGAATCATCTGGCCACAAAGGTAAATAAAAAGCTGTCTGAAAAATCTAGTCTGGTATAAAAATTCTTGTCTGCCAAATAATCCCTGTAAAGAGAAGAGATGAAATAGTGTCCATGACAATATACCCAGAAAGAAAATGGCTTTCATTTAAAGTGTTATTACAAGGAACTGGTCTAAAAGACTTTCCTGCAGACAGAGGCATCTGGGGTGTCACATACCTTGATCATCATATCTGGCAGCAGCAGAAATTTGGTCCCAGGACTTCTCGAATATTTAACAGTGGCTATAGGGGCTAAGGCAAAATACATTTTGATTTTATGAGCTAGCTCTGGCATTGTGGAAAATGCAATAAAGCCTGTAAGAGAGAAAAATTTATCACCATGGGAACTGAATAGCTAAGAACTTATAAAATGCATATTTTACTTCTGTCAAAATTCCTTAATAATTATGTGTGATTATGTCTTAACCTTCCTCTAATGCAGCTATAGACTTCAGGGATGTAGTGTGTGTGTGTGTGTGTGTGTGTGTGTGTGTGCGCGCGCGCGAGCGCGTTTTGAGGGAGCTCAATGCAAAAATGTCTGGATTTCAATCTTTTAGACTTGTTTTCAAGTAGAAAGTTCTCATTGAATTAAATTGTTCAGCTCTTACACCTGGAGTGGAGAGAACAATTTTCCCACATATGTACTCTTGTATAGTGAGGACGATCTCTGCTGACCCTATGGAAGAGAAAAGCTGTCCCATGAAGCCAGGACAGATCTTACATTTGAAATCAGGGATATTTGCACATTCTCTGTTTAGGCTGCAATCTCCAGTTTGTGGATGAGAAAAACCTAAACTCAAGACCCCTGTTCCACTCTCAGAAAGTGAATGGGTATAAGAGAAGACGGGATCCTTCTATACAGCTCTCTGCATCTGGCTAGGTTTGCTAGCTGTTTGCAAGGGCAAACACACAAGAGACTTGTTATTATCTCTTGCTCTCTCAGCTATACTGTGAGTACAAAAAAGATGGGAATGTACATGCCTGTCCTCTCCAGATTAATTCTGACCAGATTAGAACTCTCCTCAAATGTTAAGATCTGAGAACCATCAATAACCTCTCCCAGGAAGACTGCTCTTCATGCAAAGCAAGTTTGGGGGTTTTATTTTAATATGGTTTACCATTAGACTTATCTTTGATTTCTTGCTCATATATTCTTCTGAAAACAGCATCCAGTCCTGCTTTCAGCACCTTTACCTTGATGTTAAGCTGAACCAATTGAGTATAGAAAAACTATTTTAAGAAGATGTCTGGAGTGAAGAGCTATGAAACACTGTAATTGTACCAGTGGTTTGATGAGAGCTAGCAATACTGCAGCCCATTGCTGTTATCCAAAGTTAAGATAAGGAAAGTATAAGACCCAGACTTCTTTCCTACTTTAGAGGATCACTTAAAAATGAGCACACTGAATTTGAGCTCTCAGTTCCAGCAGCCACTAGAATTTTTGATTCCCAATACGACCTTAGTTTTACAGGATGTCACATGATGTGAGCAATGATCCTCAGTGATTGCAGGAATTTTTTTTTGATAGGAAATTAGCTGGTTCCATGAATAAAACCCAAGAGGTCCTAGTAAACCACATAGTTCCCAATAGATATGGACTGTGCTGTGAGTGATAGAAAGCAAGGGAGAGAGACAAACAAAAATAGCCAGTTAACTGTGCTCACTGTTCTTCAGAGTCAGGTTAGTTTTGTGGATAAACTATGCTATCTGCTTGAGAAAAGTTGTAGTCTAGAGCTTGGCTGTGTCTAGTTTAGTCTTTGCCACTCTGTATGACGTGTCTCCTGGGGTTGAGTAAATTTTAGGGGAAAAGCTGACCAATTTGTTACACATAAACTTTCCTATAAAAAGTTGCACTTGCACATACAATAGATTTTTCTCATCATTCTACCTTCTCCTTTGAACTTCTCAAAGTAAGTATATTAAGTCCTTTATTCTTTTAATAGAGTGAGACAGAGCCTAAACCCGAGGGATTTCAGACAGAGGTAAGTGGCCATGGGAAAGCTAGTAGAAAGGTAAGCTTGGTGACAGTTAAATGACCAATGAGAGCTTTGGCAGAAGCAAACCACCTGGGGTGTGAGTCCCTGTGACCAGAGCAACAACATGTTCTGCTGGCACCATGGTGTACTGTTGAGTTAAGGCAACAGCAAGCATCCTATGAGTTAACCCAGTGCCGCTGGAAGATTATTGACCTAAAGTCATAAGTAGGCTCAAAGGTATCCATGTCTGTTCTTAGAGAGATTTGACTTCCTAATCCCAAGTGGTTGTGGACATGGAAATAAGACTCTTCAGAATTGAGAAATGTATACATAGAATTCCCACATAGAATGCAATGTGTTTCTCTTATGCTACACTGGTTATTAGACACGTGCAAGTGTAGTTACTGGGTGAAGTTCCTGGTCTTTCATTATATTGCACTTTATTCATCTGTAAAATGGAGATATAGATTTCTTCCAAATATTCTTCTTCAGTGATCAAGCAAAATGATGCAGTTGGTAAGTATACATATAAGGCAGTTATTATGAAAGCAAAAAACAATATGAAGATAGCATTGAATCTGCTTAACTTCATCTTTTTAATGAGTATAAACCCTGTTCTGGTAGGTAAACATGCTACCCTTACTAAAAAGTGCAGATTTTTACCCCAAGAAAACTGTGCTCCTGTTCTCAATTCAGGGTTTAACTTCAAAACACAGATAAAGAGCCCTGATTAGTCTCAGAAACCCTCATTTGGTTACATAGATCTTTTTGTCTCCCAACCCAAGCCTAACAAGTACTTCCCTATTGGTTTAGTTCTGATATGAGGCCAGAATAGCCCCATTTCCACCTCCCAATATAAGTGATCTTATCCTGAGGGGCTGTTATCTGAGTCTCTTGAAGATTCTCTCAAAGCTGGATGTAATCACCTAATCTCAAACACTGGTAAAGAGAGAAACTTGAGTTCACACTACCAGGTCTGCTTGTCATTCAGTGATAACACTCTGTGTCTTTCTTACTGATCACTGTGAGGCCAACTGTGAACCTGAGGCTTCATTCACTGAATAAATTCATGGGAGGTGGGACATGCCACAGAATAGAAACATCTATTACATCTGTGCATTAGACAAAATACCTACCTTCACAGAGCTAACATGCATGATTGTATTATGTAGTCCAGTCAGTTAGAATACTCATAAGAGAGAATTATTATCTCCATTTTGCAGATGAAGAAATTGAGACCAGAGTGATGAAGGATTTCCTTTAGGGTATCATCTAAAGAATAGCAGAGATGGTGTTTGAATCCACACCTCTCGCCTTTCTACCACATCCCAGGTTTCCTTCAGTTCCGTCTTTGTTCCCTGAAGCTTTTAGAGCCACTGAAGGGGAGAAGGCCAGGTGAGAGGAGTGATTGACTGAGCCCAGCCACAGCTTGGGTCACAGGCTCACAGGCTCACAGCCTCATACTTCTGTGTATACCAACCTTCTTTCCTGTGAACCTACCCATGGTGGTGCCCTGTGAATAGCCGACATAATAGATCTTTTTCTGGCCTGTTTTCTGTAAGATAAAGTTTATCACAGCTGGAAGGTCAAACCTAGCCATTTCATCAAAACTACAAAGGGAAAAGACAAAGTTATTCGACAATAATACAAACAGAACACAGTCAGAATCCCCCAGGAACTGCCAACATGTCCCCCTCAACCAGTGTCAGCTCTGTTAGCTTGTTACTGTGTTCCTCACAATCTTTGAGATGAATTTGTTTCAAACCTGTGGTGACTCTGTCAGGGCACAGACTGTTAGAAATGTCTATTCTCTCCAGATGCTTTAATATAGTAATGACTATTGAGAAGTTTTGAACACTCAAGCCACCCCCTACTGTAAGGCGTGTTCTACCCTGTAACTAAAACAGCTTAGAGGAATGCAGATTTCTTTGCAGTATGAATGCTGGAATGGTAGCAGAACTCTTATCTGACCAAAGGCATAAAGAACAGGTTGACCATGAGTGGTCAGTAAGGACATTAGGAACTTGAGTAAGGCTATGAGAAATACTACTTAAGGTAATGACACACAACGATTGTTAAATCCCTATTTAATGACACTTGGTCTCATGTCCTGGGGGTGTCAGTCCTGTTGTCATCATATATGAGGGAGTTAATCCCAGATAATAAGTCACAGGGAAATGGCTCAATACCTTTCCCACTCCATTCTCAATCACCTGACACCACGCATTGCTCTCAATCCACCAGCTAGACCTTGAGAGACCCAGTCTTTCCTATATTCACCCATAGCAGCATAAGATCATAAGGACAACTGAGGGATATTGAGTAGGGACTTGGATATGAGCAATCCAAATACCACAAGTCACAATTCTTTACCCAGTGCTTCTAGGCACATCTGTATCCACATCAGTCCTCAAAGCATTCTTGTACCTGAAAGCCCAGAACTCATCTTGGTCTATGGAGAGGGTCTTGTGCTTCCGAGACCAGGTGTTTCCTCGGCTGTTTCCCATCCACACATCAAAGCCAGCATCCGCCAGAATAAAACCCAGGCTGTTGTTGGGCAGGTTGGAAATCCAGTTGCTAGCATCCCCAAGAAGGCCATGCTGCAGTAACACCACTGGCCTGGATCCTGCAAACAAGAGAAAATTCTAACTGGTGAGGCGTTCTCTACTCTTCTTTCTTTCTTTACATACAAGGACTTGCATACCAGAGAAATCATACATGCAAACCTATCTTTGTATTGCTTGCTAGGTTGATTATCTCAGTCGATTATTTAATGCTTTTGTGTTTTAATTTCTTCACCACCAGAAAATAGGATTTTTGCTATGAACAAATAAGATACATCACAAGGAACAGATGCACACAGCCTGTTAAAAAAAAAAGCACTAGAATGCAGCTCCCAACATTGTTTTGAGGAACTTTTAGTGTTCAACTGTTATTATTACATCTTCAGAAAATATTAGAACTGTTTCAGAAGAAGGTATCTTATAATGACGAACACATACATGCACATGTACATTTGTAAAAAAATAGTCTAGTGACAAAGACTCCACATGTAAAACTGACTCACATTTCAGGGAAATGTGTCGATCAGAATAGAGTTATAAGCTGGGTGTGTGGCACATACCTATAGTACCAGGACTGAGGAGGCTAATTCGGAGGATCATGAGTTTGGGGCCAGCCTGGGCTATACAGCAAGACATGGTCAAAACTCAAATAAATAAATAATGGTAATAAATTACAGCCCACTAGGTAGTAAGAGGAACTCTAAGAATATCATCATGTGGAACTGTACTGTACACCAACCGGACTAAAAGCAATGTCAACACTCATGCCGTGTGACCAATCAGCAACCTGTGAGTAGTAACTTTTGACCCTGGTGTCCTCCACACAGAGTAATCAGCACAGTCACTTGACAGGAAGAAGGATGCCTTGCCCAAGCCTGTAGGATTTGTGGAACTTAATGAAAAGCCTCTGTTTCCAGGGTACTCAGTTATGTGCACATTTCCTTTCCTTCATCTCACAGATAAATTTTAGTAGCCCCAGACTGTTCTCAGTGAAGTGTTTATTGTTGAATACACATGAATGAAAACAGAGAAGCCCCTGCTCTCCATGAGGTTCCACTCTGGTGGAAGAAGAAAAGACGATAAACTACCATGAAAATATGTCTTTAGGCGTAGTAAGGGAAAACAGGAGATGTGACGCCGGGTGTTAATAGACGGCATGAGGCTGCAATCAGACTAGGGTTGTCAGGAAAGAAGGGTCTTGGAAAACTGGCCCTATCATGGAAATGGAGTAGGCATGCAGCAGGTACAGCCATGCAGCCCGGGGCAAGAACACTCATTTTGAAAAAGGCTACAGGTGTGCCTATTGGGATAAATAGAATTCTGAAACTTTTACACCACAAACCAGTAACATTTGTCCAGTGTTAGATAAGAACACAGGCTACATTCTGATAAATATCTTGATTTGAATGCCACACACTACCAAGTATTAGCATGGTCTTTCTGGTCTAGTCACACAGTTGGGTGTGGCAGAGTGATACAGAAAATTATATGGAACTAAGGAAATGAAGCACTTGGCATTAAAGCTGTTATACAGAAAGGAAACGGGAAGTTATATTTTCACACCCATGACAGACAATATAGTTGCCGTTATATATGCAGTAACAAAATATGAAAAGCACAGAGCCCAGTGGAAACAGATATGTGCATACTTGGTTGACGAGGATGAATGTTTAAAAAACAGTGTCAGTCTAGAGCCTCATATAAAAGTGAAATTAAGCAAATGCCATAAAACACATTGAAAATGGAAATATGTGCACCTAGAGACTGCTTCTTAGTCTTTGGTGGAAAACGAGGCAACATCATGAATATTCAAGGTGCTCTTTGGATGGGCCACATGTTGTACAGTGTTGACAATCAGGTACTTCATAGGAGCTCAAGAAGAATGAAAGCCCCCATGTGGTATTTTCAAGGGATCATCAGGGAATGTTCTAGAATATTTATGTAGGAGGGGTTTGGGAATGGATTAAGTGCCAGAATGCATGAAAATGGATGTTTTTCCTGAAGGTTTTGTTTCGTTTGTAGTATTTGCTTTGTTTTGTTTTATTTGTAGTGATGGTGATTGAACCCAAGTTCCCAAAACTGCTTGTTATGTGTTCTTCCCCTGTGTTCCCTCTGGAGATCAAAGGTATATTTGAAACATATGTCTGAGACGTTGATGACTATGGGTATGGATGAAATATAATCTGGTAATGGGGGTAGGGATTATTTGGGAGCTGACACTATCTTTCCCCCTAACCAAGGGATCTCAGGCCATTCTAAGAACCAAAACTCAACTCTACATATCAAGAAAATCTGGGCTTCAAGAAGAAGATCATGTTGGGGTGACACTGAGTAAACCATACCTTCTTTTTTAAATTGTGTCTGTCCTTGAGGGATTCTGTTCACAGAAAGGATGTACCCATCTTCGGTTGGAACTTCATACTCCTCACTGGGATAACCCTTGTGTTTGATGATTTCGCTCTATAGAAAAACAAACAAAAACCTCAACATTTATTTAGACTTCAGGTCTACAAGGGCATAGTCTCAACAACTCAAAGGTAAGAGTAGTTTCTTAGGTATTGCAAGAAGGTCCTGACCTTTCCCTAACTGATACTACCTTAGTCAAACCAGCCAATTCTCCTTGGATTTAAATGTGATTAGTTTTTATATTTTTCAGTATTGGTGAGCAAACCTGGGGCCTCACAAGTTAGACAAATGCTCTGCCACTAAATTATACCCAATTTCTCTCACTTTTTAAATTATTCTGGATCCTGGATTACACTGGATCCTGGTTCTCAGAAGTTGGGAGGTAATTCTGTCAGCCTTACCTAAGCACTTGGTAGGAAGGCAGAACATGGCAATGACCCACTGTATTAGGAACTCTGATGGGAGAACAGGTCTTCCCAGAATTCTGGCTCTTGAAAAACACTGAGCCAAAACACAGATTCCAAAGTCTGGATGTGCCCCAGAGACATCCAGGATCAACAGATGTACAGATTCTTGAGCTCAGGTCAAGAAGCCAGGCCATTGTACCATAGTGCCTGTTCTGTGGTGACTTGGGACTTCTTTGTCCCCTCAGCCCTTTAGGTTTTTTTAGTTTTAAATTCAAAGACTGAAGAACAGTATTTCTTAAGCTTTTAAACTGAAAAAAAAAAACCCTCTGTGAATTTGGGAATAACTATAAAAATGCTATGCATAAACATTTTTTTTCTATGCAATTTCAAGGGTCTCAGACTCCTGCCTGCCTACACTGGATCACCTGCTAAACATTTCTACTTCAAACACGAGTGCATGCTGAAACTCTTCCTCCTACACCGCCTCATGGCGCTTGCCAACTGTCACTGTCTCATCAGTCAGAGAAGGGGACTATCTCAATTAGGAGCTGCTAAGAAATGAGTAAGAGAGAAATCATGTGCAGAAGGCACAACACAGAATACAGAGCAACAAACATAGTCACTAAGGAGAAAAGCCATGGTCTCACCAGAGATCTAATCCCACACACACATTTTCTCTGATATTGAAAACCTGTTTCTTCCTCTATTCCTCTGCTAGATCCTTCTGGATAGGATAAGACAAGGAATGTGCATAGAACATTAATTAATTAGTGCCTAACACCAACAGTGGACACTCTGTAGGTGTTATATATAATTAAAACCCAATAAGCACACAATTAAAACTCAACTAACCAAATATTATGGAATTGTGTGTGTGTGTGTGTGTGCACATGTGTGCACATAGCACTGTTGCAGAGTTAATTTAGGTCATTTTGATCATGCATCAGTATACTTAGAGGATTTATCAGGACACAGATTGTTGGATTCCATTCTTAAAGTTCTGGCAGGTCTGGGGTAGACTCAAAACACTGATGTTTCTAATAAGCTTCCAGATGTTGTTGAAGCTGTTTGTTCTGGAGAGACTATCCCTTCAAGAATCACCATTGAGGACAGTGTGGAGAGCTAAGATTCAACCATGAAATGTTTGAGGGCTTCTGAGATTTATATAATTTGTCATCAAGGGGTCATGCATAAGGTCTGGTTTAAGGGTGTAAGATAAGGAAGTGGGTGGAGGAACTCTGAGCAGGGAGAGACTCATGAACGGGATTAGTTAGGGAAACTTTTATGGAGGAGGTAAAATTTGAATTCATCTAAGACTAAAGAACTACCTGAGAGAAGACAGAAGGTAGAGGTTATGGGCATGGGTATCTCAGAAAACGATTATATGTTAGTGACCATTGTTAGTGATGGCTAACAGGCTATATTTGACAAGAGAGCTCATACAAGATAATATTAAGAAACAAATTTGTCTACATAAAAAATACAGATCTAACATATTCTAAAGAGTAAGATGTTTTAATACCATTTATTTTTCTTTGTGTTTTGAGACAAGGTCTCTTTTTCTATGTAGCCCTGGATATCCCAGAACTTGATATGTAGACTAGGCTAGCCTTGAATTCACAGAGATACGTTTGTTTCTGTGTTTTGAGTGCTGGAATTAAAAGCATGCATCACTATGCTTGGCTACATAATCAAATATAGCACTGTATATATACATATATGCATATATGTGTATATTCACACATACATACATACACACACACACACACACACACTTTTTGAGTCAGAACCTCACTGTAGTATCCAAACTGTACTTGAGCTTGGAATGCTTTTGCCATCCTAAGTGTAAATTAAAAATACCTGAAGGAAAAAAATCAGTTATGTGCATTAAAACAATATTTTAAGAAGGGTTAGCCCAGCATTGGTGGCATATACCTTTAACCCCAGCTCTTGAGAAGCAGAGGCAGATGATCTCTATGAATTTGAGGCCAGCCTATTCTACAGTAGGAGTTCTAGGACAGATAAAGGATCATGCCTTGAAAGAAAAGGTTTTACCCTTTGTCATTTGTTCATTTTTAGAAACATTGGTGTGTATGTGACATACATGACATAGTGACATATAGTAACTATATGGTGTATGCCACTGTACCTAGCTACAAGGGTTCTTAATATACATCTTTCATGTGAGTTATGCTTTAAAGTATAGCTGCTCCCTAAATGATCTAACCTGGGACAACTATGCACACCAAAATGTAGAATATGATACAGAAAGTTGAATAATGTTCTTGGAAGATGTTTAAAATGTTGGGACATCCTTTGTGATGCATACTGTTAGTAGAAAGTATTAGAAAATAGGAAATTGTGTATGATGCTCCTTAGTCTTCTCTTAGAAAACAGAAACCTTCATAGATTTAGAAGGCAATGACAGGACATGATAAAGCTGTTGGTGGTTAGCTCTGTGTGCTAATGTATTAATAAGCATTATCGGCATCTGAAGTTCGTAGGTTCCCTACAAGGGGTATATACTGCTCTTGCAATAAAAGCACTAACCTTTAAAGGTCAACATTTTCATCTTGAACATGGCATGCTGTCAGCTACCCTACTTCCTCAACATGGTGACCTCTTTGCCAGATGCCCCCTACCTACCTCCTATTTATTCTTCTGAATTCAGGCTACAAAATATTTTTCTACATTCTGGATTAGTTTCTCATTTTGATCTCACCTTTTCTCACCTTTGATCTTAGTCTTGTGATCAGTAATTGAGAGTTTGGTTTTTATGCTGGATTACCAGCTTTTGATTTTCTGAGATTTCTCTGTGGCCATGGTGAATAGCATGACTTCAGGCACCTGAAGTGATGGAGTCCAGCACCTTCCAGGAGTCCTGACAGCGTGGAGCTTCTGATTAGTCTAGGAAAGTAATCTTTGTCAAAGGAACTCCATGTACCCTAAAACTCGAGAAATTTGTGTGGAACAGTCAGGACTCTTGAGGATCTGCAGCAGTGTACCAGGAGGACAAGCATTAGCTAGACATTGAATGGGACAAAGAAGCCTCCAGAGACTGTAGATATTTGTACTCTGCCGACTCAGAACGTTTCCACAGTCTGTAAGTCTTAGAGGCTATGTCAGCTATCAGAGTGATGATGGAAACCTGATAGTACTATGGAGATTCAGATAAAACAAACAAACAAACAAACTTTTTCACAGGCTGTTGGGTTTAGAAACCATGCAAAAAATCCTAGAGAAAAAGAGTTTGTAGAAAAAGGGTCTTGTATAAAAGTTACCAAGACCTGTTACCACTTTTGATGGAGATATTAGGTGAGACTGCGAAATGTCCAACACAATCATGTCACTCATTTGGAAGTCGGTTCTCCACCCTGTCATCTGGTAGGGTTTATTGCACAGCGGCTATAATTACAGGCGTGTGTTTAGGCGGACCTGAGTTTAAATTGTAGGTCCACCAAGCATAGCGGTGGGGCTTGTTTAACTGGTTTAAATGCTTCTTTATTCTTAGTGCCTTGATTTGAAGAGTATAGACAGTCATATCTCCAGGTCGGAGCAATGTATCTCTGCAACTTTTTATCACAATGCCTTCTGTAGAATAAATGATACTATATGGTGATCATGAAATAAAACTTAGTTTGGGGTTTGAGAGTCAACACAAAAATTCTCCCAAAGACTTCTGAAGAGATGTGTCATCATTTGTGCATCTTTCTTACATGCCTTCTCTAGCACAAACAGACCTCTCATTGCTATTTGACAGTTAGCCTCCCGAGCAGGATAAGAACAGGAGCTACTAGAAGTACATGCTTTCATAGCAAGAGCTCAGAGGTGATATTTTTACCAAAGGGATAAAGCAAGAAAATAAAAAAGACAAAATGAAAATCATCAGGGAAGGCTCCAAAGGTTTCAACTATTTCCTTGTTTATTGGGTGACTCTGAAGGTTCAACAAAGAGTTAAGCTGCTCTTGAAGCCCAAAGCGATGATTAAGTCATTCACCCCAAATCACTGACTTTGATTGGGAAGCACCTCCTCTCCCCACCCCCCACAGTCTGCTGACAACCAGTTCAGCTTTCTTCCAGTGTTGTTTGCACCATACTGTTCTAGCATGTCCTAGCATGAAATATTTCAGTATATAAAAATAACAGAGCACGCAGCTACTTCACAAATGTAAAGGTTAACACATCACCCCTCACTCCCGCCAAACATGGAAAACCCCAACTTACAACATTCATGAATGCTTCTGGGTCCACAGCTTTCGTTGGCATATGTCCCGAGTTCACATTTCTTTGGAGTAAATACGCTACCAGAATCAGAAGCCATATCTCCACTCTGTGTGAAACAGTCCATGCTCTTGACAAGATTTCTGACATGGTCCAACACCGGCATGTGCTCTGTTGCTAAGGACGTAACAACTACATCTGGAGTCAGAAGAAGGACATGTAGGTATAAAGCATCTTTTGTGCGTTTTTCAGTGGCAAAAAAAAAAAAGTCTGAAGCAGATTAAGCAGGTGTACATACAGCAATGAAAGAACACGGTGTAGGCTGCAAACATTGCTTAGGATGTCACAATGCTGCCTGGCTCCTCATGCTCCTCCCTCATTCATCTTGTAAACACCAATCCTTCCACTTCTAGGTGTGTCCAACTTTCTTTGTTGCAATGGGAGTTTCATGCATGTTTAATGGAGCCCACAAGCTCCTGTTCACCATCACCGTGTCAGGGCCATAAGAACCACAGCCCCCTTCTGCTTAGCTCTCATCTTTCCTTGATTCAATAGCAAGAGGTGGAACCTGCAGAATACACTGAAAGTCTCCGTAGTTACAATGTGATGGCTTCCACCATCACTGTCCTGGAGATCAAATGCAGGGTTAATTACTTTTAAGTGAAATGTCAAAAGTTTTAAGAAAATTTCCCATTTTCGGTGCTGGGTTAGAAAAAAAAAAGTATCTGTGAGAAAGCAATCCAGGCTTAGCCTGTTTCTCTAGCTCCATCCATACATACCAAATTTTAAATTTGGTTTGTAGTTAATAGTTAATTGTTGACTGTGATACCTAGTAATTAAATCACCAGAAGGAACCCAAATAGTGAGTGGTAGCCTACTTGTTTTTATGAACCAAATGCCCCAGTTCAGCAGACAGTGAGGTAATGTGAGTGGCTCTTTGACCTGCTGTTAACCGGCAAGAGGGAAGATTCGTTATTTTAAGTAAAGGCTGTGCTTCCGAGTTAATAATAATAATAATAACAATAATAATAATTATAAACCCAATGTAATTTTTCTACGGCTACATGAATTCCTCAGCGCTAACAGCAGCTACACCCACTTGCAGACTTGGAGAATGTGGTGGGTGAAGGAAGCCAAATCCAAGCTGGAAAGATGAGTTCCTGGGAGGGAATGTGTCTTCCTGGATGACTCAGCTTTCCCTGCTGCTTGGGTGGGTGTGCAGTGGCAAGCCTGTGTCTTTATCTGGGCTTGGCTGAACATTCATTCACAATATTGTTGATTGCTACATGTTACAGAGGAGGGATCTGACCCAATTAGAAAAAGCAAGAAAGAAGGATTACCTCCACAAAGCCCCTCCTGGAACCCAGAGAGACTTAGTTTACTCTAAAGTTATGCAAAATGAGGTCTAAGAAGAGAACCTCACCTCCTGCTGCTGACAGTTTAAGATTTTAAAATTACCCACAGGGGGGTGGGGGCAGGAGAGACTGGGAATAGCTTTCATTTTCATTTTGGAGTTTCGTGATCCTGTCAGCATTATCAAATTAAGTTGTGGCCAGGCAAGAAAGAAAACTTAGATATTGGGATATTGGGACTGGGGGTAGGGAGGACGCCTCAATGGTTAATAGCACATACTGCTCTTATAGAGAGGGCCTAAGCTAAGTTATCAGTACCCAGGTCCAGTGGTCCAGTACCCTACTCCAGCTCCAGGGCATCTGACATCTTTTGGGCTCAGTGAGCACCTGCACTCATGTGTATATACCCAATGATCACATGCTTGCACACACACACACACACGCACACACACATTATTAAACATAACCAAATCTTAAAAAGCAGATGTCTTTTTCCAATTTTATGTGCATTGGTGTTTTGTCTGCCGTGTGAGGGTGTCAGAGTCTCTGAACTGAAGTTACAGACAGTTGTCAGCTGCCATCTGGTTGCTGGAAATTGAACCTGGGTTCTCTGGAAGATCAGCCAGTGCTCTTAACCGCTGAGCCATCTCTCCAGCCCCAAAGCAGGTATCTTAATCCATCACTTAATATTACAGTCACATGGAAAGCCCTCTTACTGTTTCCTTCCTCGCTCGAGCTGTGTCATCCGCTTCTCACTGCTGTGAAGAAATTGAACCCAGGGTCCATGAATGTTAGACAGCATAAGTCATGTCTTCAGGTTCTGGATTTAAAATCCAGAATCATTCTCGATGAATTTAGTATTTAGAATTTAGTTTGACATACACAAGCTACACATATTTACTTCAGTATGTTCAGCTAAGCCAATTCCTACTTTTGATGGATGTGTTTCTAGAATTCTGTAGAGACAAATGGTGGTAATAACCTGATTGAAAGACTGAACAAAACCAAACCCCAACCCTCTGGTTTTCTTAGTGAGTCTACAAAATGTCCTGTAACCACCATCCTGTCTATTTACATTCATGCTAGAGGGCTTTTGTGTTAGCGTCCCACTGACTGTCAGTAACGTGACTCAGCTGTTACAAGTCACCCTGAAACTAGGGGCTTTGACGTGGAAAGAATTTGAATGACACATGGTCAGTGTTCTTGTGTCACCTGAATCCCAATGACTTTAGGATCACATGACTAAGATGTTTGTGTTGATTCTAACTCCCAACCTTTTAACACGGGACACTTCATAGGCGACTCTGAGACATTCAGGCCAATAGGCACAGCTTACAGGTCTCCTGTTTTGTCAGACATTCCTGCACCAGGCATGGTTCCCAAAGAGACTCCAGTCTCTTCTTAGCCGGATCAACTAGCATGCCATGGTTCTTCATAGACTTTGTCCCAGTGATGAAGTATTAGAAACCATTTCACACACCAGGAAGCAGGCAGCTTAAGCTCTGTCTCCTAGCATTATCTTGGAGTCACTTCACGATACCTAACACCTTAGTTTAGTTCTTCCTTCTCATAGGCCAGCTTTTTAAAGACATTATTATTTAAATACTGTTGAGCATATAGTAATTAAGACAGGTTATGAAGTCATATAACAAATGTCACTGCTTACTTCTTACGTGGCATTGGGACATGTTCCCACGATCCCTGAGCCACTGTGTCCTCATTTGCAAGATTCGACAGTAATAGTACCTTCATCTACGACTGCAGTGATGGTTACATCAGACAGCAGTGCAGAGACTGCTTCATGAAGGTTTTAAGACTTGTCAGGCTGGTGAGATGGCTCAGTGGCTAAGAGCACTGACTGCTCTTCTGGAGGTCATGAGTTCAAATCCCAGCAACCACCTGGTGGCTCATGACCACTCGTAATGAGATCTGATGCCCTCTTATGGGGTGTCTGGAGACAGCTACAGCGTACTTACATATAATAAATGAGGGCCGGACTGAGAGGGGTTGGAGCAAGAGGTAGAAGGGAAGGGCCAGTGGGGAAGGGGTGTTTTCTCACTGTCCGTTCCAATGCTTCTAAGATAAAGCAGTATTTCTCCACCCACTTGGGACACTGGCACATATCTGATGAAGAGAACGTCAATCACATTTTCCCCACACATTGATTAAATTGTGATTTCTGTACCCCCTCCAGGCCCCAACTGGTTTCCTAGGCTGGTGATCTTGGTCATACCACTTGGTAAACCTTTTGCAGCCAAACAAAGAGCATCTGACAGGAAAAGATGCCATGAAGATCAGGTGAGCAGCTAAGCCAGGAGTTCATATCCAGAGGGATTTACAGACTGCCTTTCTCCATCTCCTCTCTTTGTTTTTTTGCCTTTGTTATTCTTTTGAGACAGGGTCTCATGTGGACCGGGTTGACTTTGAACTAAATTATGGCTTGCTCTACCTACCTTTTCCTTAAAAGCATCTACAGTGTGGAGATACAGATGGTGAGTCCCCTTTCCAAATCTATTTGTAGACTAGACTTAAGTCGTAGTATCTTAGAACTATAATCACAGGTTTCAGAAGCTGTTTCTTTCAGCATCCTGTTTTTATTTCTCTACTTTTATATAATATGAAATTCTATAATTTAGTAAAAGTTATACAATACATATTTGTGTAAAACTTTGACCACCACGATGTGCATAGATTGAAATTCACATTTTCCCCTTGAAGTTAATTTCCACTAACAATTTGATGTATATTTTCAAGGCAATATGTATGCCTGTCTATCTATCTATCTATCTATCTATCTATCTATCTATCTATCTATCTATCCAGTGTGTATGTGAGAATATTGTCAGAGGTAGGCTTTATAGATGCAGAACACTGGGTAAATGTATACATAGTCTATATTCTGAAAAAGCCTGTTAAATCCTAAGACTGTGGTAGAACTGTGACCACAACCCACCCTTCTTTCCATATATAACTTAAAATTTCAAAAATTTTAAATTTGCCAGTCTTGGGGGATCAAGGTGATAGATGGTGATTTTGCTTTCATTTTTATGAAATTGCAGTCAGACTATGATCTTTTAATATATTTTAACTTTTGCCTTTGTGGATTGCCGTTTAAGTGACCAGACTGTTTCATCTTAATGTTTCAAAGAATAGTCAGCAGGAACCTTTCCTTTATCATGGCTATTAATCACCAAATTGCTATAAGTTACTTAACTCACCTACTTTTTCAAACCTTTGGCTTATGCTGCATAGTTATTTCATAAGAGTTTTAATATAGATGTCTCATAGTTCAGCTTTCTTTGCTAGGGTTCTCTGTTTCAGTCATATTCATCTTTTTCATATGAAGGTTGAGTTATATTCTTGATCATTTTTTAAATATTTTGATAGATTTATTTTCATCTGATTTTAGACCAATTGAAATTTGTTTTTCAATATAGAATGCTGTTGAAACTGAATTTTATTTTTGCAGCTAGGCATTCATTTTAAAGAGATCACATTCTAAGTCTTTCCTTGATTTCTCGGAGATGGAAGTCACCTGGGTGTCCTCATCTTCTGTAGCAAAGATCCGCGGCTCTGGTGAGATCTCTTGGTTTCTGGAACAGTGTTTCTCAACTGTAGTTGTTTGCCATCCAGTGGGAGGACATTTGGCAAGGTCTGTAAAATATTGGCTGTCATCGTTAGGGGAGTGTTACTGGCATCTAGTGGTAGAGGTCACAGATGCCTCTAAACACCTTAAAATACACAGCAAGTATGTCCACCCCCACATGTCAATTTTGTCAAACAAGTTAAATCCCGGAG